ACACGAAGTATTTATTTCAGTAAATATATGCAAATTTACATTACTAGCTAGCAACGTATTATTATTACAAGAGGTCTATTTTATCAAGTTCACTTGTTAAACCAAATCTACGAAATTCATCATAGGCCTCCTTAGTGTTAGATTTAGAACTGTTAAATGTCTCTCCTGTTTCTTCAATCATGTACTGGTATTGTAGTGGATTACTGAAGAGCACGATGCCAGTGTTGGTCACCCGAGGGCCTTGTTGCTTCCATTCGACTCAGACATTTTTTTTCTTTTCTTCCCATTCTCGACTTCGCTCGCAGCCAATCTGTAATAGTTGTCCAAGCTAACACCTGTTTTCTTCTCGAATTTTTCCTTCCTTTTTGTCATATCTGCAAATATCTCACCCACAAGCATCTGCTTACAGTTCAACAAATATGTAAAGGTAGGGCCCTGCACTCGTTTAGGAACACCAACACTCAGAATCAATTGTGATTGCATTTGACGAATCAAAATGTTTTCCAAATCTGTAATTTGCCATTTTTCCTTTTCAATAGGTAAACCAACCCCATTCTCACACTCTGTACTCAATTCAAACGATTTACCACTCATCCACGAAGAAACAACCTCTTCCCACTTTGCTTGCTCCATCTCGACTGAAAAAGAGCGCGAAAATTTGTTTCCCCTCAAAAAAACTTTATCTTCCAACAACCAATAAACGTTAATTCTACCAACAAGATAAATTTCAGCAGCTTGCCAAAAGACCTCCGGTAAGAGCGTTGTCAAAATATAGACGATGCTTGTTACAAGACGCTTGCCGATTTTATACAGACGCTCGTTAAATCAAACAACCAATCATAGTAAGCCAACATTAATCCCTCAATTGTATCATAAACGTGGGGGCCGCTAAAAAATGCGTAGTCAGCAAGTTTCGCCCGATCGTGTTTAAGCTCGCCCGCGTGACGTCATTGCATATAATTATGACGTGTGTTAATGAGTGACGTCACTACGCACCCTCATTTGTGCGTAACCCTTAATTACCTGCATATATAATGATGCGCCGCCCCCTTGCATAGTAATTACCTGCATATATAATGATGCGCCGCCCCGCGCCGCCCGACGCCGCCCCGCGCCGCCCCGCGCCGCCCCCAAAAAGGGGCCCGAACGGTACCTATATTACTACTAATATCTTTAGGGCAATGTGGTAGTGATTGAGCTAAATCCGAAACTCTCTGAGGCAAGTTAATACAATGTCCAGAATAACCTCTCTGGCCTCAAGGTTTTAAATAAACTTTCATAATTGGTAGTGCATGTGCAATAAGCATTTCCTCAATCTGGGTTAGGTTTGCAATGCGTCTGGCACAAATGATGGAATCATAAAATTGTCATCTGAAAACGTTTTTGGCGATTGCTTATCCAGTGAGCATCTACGGCAAATGTAGGGAGATTTCGGTTTTGACTTTAAAGGTCATGCCTCTCTACAAATTTTACATTGATTAATAGAAAATTTAATTGAATTGTGAAATTTACTAATGATTGCTTTTTCATTTTCGAAAATATTTTCAGATTGCCCATATTGAATTATGTTTGGCTCAGCAATGTTTAAGTTTTGTTTCTCATGCATTTGTGTGCTACTGTTTAATTGTTTTTTAGTGTTTATCAAACATATTTCTGCATTATCAGGTACTGTTTCTGTTCTATTACTATTGTCAGCACATTCTTTTTCCTTAACAAAATTAGCTTTTTTCTGCGATGCAACAATTATTTTGCTCCTCTTACAGGCTGGTTCATAAGCAACACTATTGCCTAAATTTAAGTGTGTTTGATCTTCTGCTTTCCTCTTATAAACATGCTGTTGCCATTGCTCATTTGCTGTCACATCAAGCACAACATCATAGTGTACCTCATTTGTATGTTGAATATAAATTGCACCATTATTTTGTGGGTGTGAGCCATCTAAATTCGATATTGAAAATTTATGCCATTTTAATTCACTACCAACTTTAGTATAAACATGAATGTCTGTGCTAAGCAAAGAACTAGCCGCTAAAATTTCAACATCAGTTCCCCACACTGCTTCATTAGCCATTCCACTGTGTGCAAGATACATATCTAAGGACATATTCATATGTGGATGTAACAGATTTTCAATTTCTCTCATATGATTTAAAATATTTTGTCTAACTAAACCATGATAAATTTGTCGACCAGTTATCACAAAAGACAGTGCACGAAATAAACAGTTACCGTCACCATGTATATTGTGTATTTTGGCTGGCTGAGCATTTTTAAGCACTTTTGGATGTTGAATTTTGTGCTTAGAAATCAGGGGTAAATCTAACAGAGAACACATAAAGTTTTGAGAATTTTCATTAAGTGGAGTGAAAGGCAACTGGTTGCCTAAAGATGACATATTCAATAAAACTTTTTAAAACAGTTTAAAACAACTTCAAACAAACGAGCGGTAATGAACCACATGAAACGAGGCGTAGATATAAAATCACACCAAATTTAAAGAAGCGAGCAGTAACGAACCACTGGAAATGAGGCGTAGATTAAAACCATGCCAAATCTAACTACACGTGAATGATAAACTAAGAAACCGAAACTGAATAGTAAATTTAACTTATTTTATCAACTATTATCTAACTAGTATACTCACGACCACTTCAGCCACGCTGTACTTAATATCGTGTTTAAATAAACGCTTATTATTTTTATTATTATTATTATTATACAGAACGCACAAACGGTAATGAACCGCACGGGAAGCAAGGCGTAGATATATAATAAAAAAAAACACGCCAAATATAGACCAATTGCGAAACTTAGTGGCCGCGCCTTCATACTGCACGATAACGAGGCTTATTATGCAAAAACAAAACAATTTCTATATTTTTATATAGCAAAAGGTGAATTTGAGGGTTTTTAAAGTGTTTTTTCTTGAATCTCTTTGATCTTTCCTTAATATTTCGTGCTAGGTTATATAAATATTTGTTAAATTTATCTAAACATCGATTTCCCACTATATTTTTACCCGCTTTGGAGAGATATTTCGTTGTTGTTTTAGCATGCGATGAAACAAACATGTGGAAAAGATCAATCTAGACTTTAAAATCTGATCAAGATGCAAATAAAATAGCCAGTATAACTTAACAAACTAAAATATAACTCTTTCTACCCATATTTTTTTAGACTTCGTGCGAGAAAAAAACGATTTTGTCAAAGGATAATAACATAAAATTTCTACAAATTTTGCCCGACATTTACTTTCATATTTTTAAAGTTAAAACCGAAAACTTGCTGTTATATTACAACTGAAACAAAATTAATCAATGTTACAACTTATTCTTTGAAATGTATTAATAAAACAGACGGAAAATACCTGATTCTTTCTCTGGTATAATCTGCTTCTTTTATCGGACGGCGAAAAACAGCAAAACTTTGCCTCGCACGCCGCAAAAAACAATGAAATTTGAAGTAAGACTAAATCTATGAACAAGTTTAAATTAATAAAGATTTACATGGTCAAAACAAAAATATTGAAAAAAAATGAAGATATTACCATAAAAACGCGTCTCAAACACTGAAATTCATCTTTCGCCATATAAAAATATAGCAGAATGATTTGTTTTTGCATAATAAACCTCGTTTTCGTGCAGTTTAAGGCGCGGTCACTAAGTTTCGCAATTGGTCTATAACTACTAATGATTAGTGATAAACTGAGAAAGCAAAACTAAATAAAATAATTAGAACTCGCAGACGTGACCGTGGCCAAAAAGACCAAAGTCTATTGAGTGCCCACAGGCACCCACAGCAAAACCTTTAACTTCCAATTAGTTATAAAAAATAACAAATAACAATATCTGAAAGCGCTTATAGATACTTTTAAAGCAGGATAAAGTAAGAATTTAAAACTACGTTTTAAATATATAACTCACAGTGGCCAAAGTCCGTCTGAGTGCCGCAAAACCGGTTTCCAAAATGCAACACGTCTGAACACAAGGATGCTTCAAGTTCCAATTGCCTAAATATACAACAGACACAAATAATTGTAAAAAAAAGATATATACAAGCACCACTAAACACCGCTAAGGCACTATCAGATAAACTAAGAAACCAAAACCATATCATCTATAACTCACAGTGGCCAACGTCCGTCTTGAGCGCCGCAAGACCAGTTTCCGAAATGCAACACGAGGAACGCTTCAAATTCAAATTGCCCATAAAATATACAACAGACACAAATAATTGTAAAAAAAAGATATATTTGTAAAAAAAAGATATATACAAGCCCCACTAAACACTGTTAATTAAGGTTACAGAACACCTTTGAGTGTTAATTTTGCCTAAAATTTTTTTATTGGTTTCCATGAAAGCATTAAACAAGTTCTACTATCTGACCAAGTTTGAACGAAAAATGTTGAAAACTCGCAGAGTTATTTAATAAAATACATTTCGCTGCAATAAGAAAAACATTGCAAATGTAATATTCAAATTCAATTTTCTCCCGAAAAAGTTTACGGTAATTTCTGATTTTCAAACGTATTGTGCTCCTGCGGGTTTTAACCAATTTTTCGCAAATTTTCACAGGACATAGCTAAAGACGTTAGTTTCAAAACCGTGTTCGGCTTTTTTTTAATTTTGGATATTTTAAAAATAAAGAGCAATTCACTCAAACAATTCAGAAATATATTGCAGTCGTCAAAGAAATCGCCATATCAGCGGAATGACGAAATAAACAAAAATTTCCGAACACGATTTTTTAGAACAACTATTTTACTGTATAAAAATTATATTTTCGTAAATATAACTTAAAAGCAGCAGGAGCACAACTCGAAAGCGTAACGATACCGCGATTTAAGATTTTCCTGAATAATTCTTACATTATTTTATTGTTTGTTAATTTTACAACTTTATCATATTTTGCATGCACTGGAGAACATTTGGTGAAAATTTGATGAAAATCGGACTGATATTGAGCGCACAGCAGCGATTTTCCGCAAAACGCCAAAAAGGGTGTCCTGTAACCTTAAAGCACTATGAGATAAACTAAGAAACCAAAACCATATAATGATATGTCTATAATCTGTAACTCACAGTGGTCAAAGTCCGTCTTGAGCACCGCAAAACCGGTTTCCAAAATGCAACACAGGACGCTTCAAATTCAAATTACCTATAAAATATACAACAGGCACAAATAGTTGTAAACAAAAGATATATTTGTAAAAAAAAAGATATATACAATTCCCACTAAAAAAAGTTAAGGCACTATCAGATAAACTAAGAAACCAAAACCATATAACCTATAACTCACAGTGGCCAAAGTCCGTCTTGAGCGCCACAGGACGCTTCAAATTTAAATTACCTATAAAATATACAACAGACACAAATAATTGTAAAAAAAGATATATTTGTAAAAAAAAAGGATATATAGAAGCCCCACTAAACACTGTTAATTAAAGCACTATGAGATAAACTAAGAAACCAAAACCATATAATCTGTCACCCACAGTGGCGAAAGTCCGTCTTGAGCGCCGCAAAGCCGGTTTCCGAAATGCACCACGAGGAACGCTTCAAATTCAAATTGCCTATAAAATATACAACAGACACAAATAATTGTAAAAAAAAGATATATTTGTAAAAAAATATATATGTACAAGCCCCACCAAACACTGTTAATTAAAGCACTATGAGATAAACTAAAAAACCAAAACCATATAATGTCTATAATCTGTAACTCACAGTGGCCAAAGTCCGTCTTGAGCGCCGCAAAACCGGTTTCCAAAATGCAACACAGAACGCTTCAAATTCAAATTGCCTATAAAATATACAACAGACACAAATAATTGTAAAAAAACATATATTTGTAAAAAAAAGATATATACAAGCCCCACTAAACACTGTTAACTAAAGCACTATGAGATAAACTAAGAAACCAAAACCATATAATGTCTATAATCTGTAACTCACAGTGGCCAAAGTCCGTCTTGAGCGCAGCAAAAACGGTTTCCAAAATGCAACACAGAACGCTTCAAATTCAAATTGCCTATAAAATATACAACAGACACAAATAATTGTAGAACATAACCATACTGCAAGCCATACTAAACACTCTTAAAGCACTATGAGATATATTAAGAAACCAGAACTGTATATATTAATATATATATATATATATATATATATATATATATATATATATATATATGTAACAAACAGAACGGCTACGTTTGAAGAAGTTTATTAAAAAAAGTATATTAAATACAAAAACTAAATTTTCGGCTGCATGCCACAGCCTTCTTCACTTCTTCACTCTGAAGAAGGCTGTGGCATGCAGCCGAAAATTTAGTTTTTGTATTTAATATACTTTTTTTAATAAACTTCTTCAAACGTAGCCGTTCTGTTTGTTACATATGAAGTCTTGTCGGCTGAGCAGAGTACTGGCATTTGTCACATATATATATATATATATATATATATATATATATATATATATATATATATATATATATATATATATATATATATATTAAAATGACATAACCTCACAAGTCTATTGATAAAATAATTTTGTAAACATAGGAAGATTTCTACTATAAAAGTCTTTCAAAGCAAGATAAACTAAAAAAAAAAACCCATATATTAATACTCACGTTTGTAATTTTCGAATGCTGTCTTCGCCAGAGAAAGTAGCAACAAACCAGTCAAGAGAGCAATCGTAAAAGAATGCAGGAAGTGCATCGCCTTATTTTATATTAATATCGCGCATTGCATTTTGGGTCCTGTGAAATTGCATTGTGGGTCTATCTGCAGTCAATCAAAAATTGAGAATTTTGCCAGCTACATGAATTAGGATCTGCTGCCTCGCTCGCTCGCTGAAGGCTCGCTCGCTGCGGCAGCAAACATTAAATTTGATTTCTGAAAGGGCCAACAATATCAAATTGGTATTGCACGTCTGACAAGAAACAAGTTAGATTATCAAAATTAGCTGCTAAACTTCTAATATTACAATGCAATACCGAAAGTGAATCTCTGCAAATTAGATTGCCTATTTCATGATAATTCACAAAATCGTCAATTGCATAATAATTAAAGTTAATCTGAGGCGTAATGTTCCTTTCAATATCAAAGTCCGATAGATTTGGGATATTGTTTAGATTTGAAGATATTTCAAGTCTAGGTAATGACGTTAAATAAGAAATATCATTTCTGTCACACATCGTTTAAATAAAAAGCAATAATGAATAATTTAATAGGGTCTTTAAAGAACATCATTGTTACATTGAAGTACTTATCTTGTTGTAGAAACCACATTATGGTCGTAGATCTTCCAGATTCTGGAGTGAAGATATTATTCTTACAGGGCTTGTCGAATCTTTTCGAAGATAAATCTTCCCAGAGTTTGTCCATATGAACTTAAAATGCCATTCACGCTTAAATTTGAGGCACTCGTTAAATAATTCTTTCTTTCTTTCTTTCTTTCTTCGACTGAGACTTTCCGATATGTGAATTTTGTTTTCTGCGAATCGTCACAATCCCAGGTCTCTCGTGGTTTTGTCTTTTAATTTTTTACGGCCGTGATAAAATTAATCTTTGATTTCTCTACGTACGAATTTGACTATAATCCTTGGAATATTAGACCTTCCAGGATTTAATGCATCTTTATTCTGGATTGCTTGACCATACATTTTGACAGGCAAGCGATAGCTGACGGAAATATCTTCTCTTTTGATATTTAAAACAATAATTGAACCCAGTTCAACAACTAGATCACTTGTGTCTTCATCAGTGGTAACAGGTGCACCACTTACTTCAATACATTCGCGTCTAGAATATTGTTCGAAATTGTCAATGTCTTCTTTAAGAGAGTTCAAGCTGTTCGATAGTCGAAAAACTTCATCCTTTAGAAATTTGTTTTCTTTGTTTATCTTCATATACTTTCCTTCCAGGTCTTCAACTTTTGTTGAAATTTCATCAAATTTATCACTTATTACAGATACTGATTGAACTAGACCTTCTACAGTTGCAGCACATTGATCAAATTTCATCGAAATTGGCAGAAGTTTGCGGTCAAAAACCTCTTCTAGAGCCGATAAAGAAATCTGGGTTTAATAGTACAGGTATAAGTATTGCCCCATATCATTAATCCATACGTCAAAAATGGATATATAATGGAGTAATAGATATTGACAAGAATACGAGTATAAGAATAGGCATGTCGTAAAAGACGAGTACCAGGTTCGTTTGGTTAAATATATTGAATGAAAATAATACGAAACGCTGTGGTTTACGAGTTAAAAATAGCACTGAATGGCAAAAAAATTTTCTTGTAACCAAGGCACAGCTAATCTAAACTAATTTTCTATAAATATCAATGTTCCTAATATAGTATTATTCAACAGTTATCGTGCAGGCCAGACAACAAAAAAGTTGTCTTAGAAAATCTGTTGTACATACATACACACGCCCAATTAGCACATAAAAGCTCGTCATAGAAAACGTGCTCGTCTGTAACCGGTTTTATTTCCTGACAATTAATTATCTGAGCGCAAAAAAAATCGTTAAGATAGCGTCGAAGTGGAAAAGAGGTTTATTTTTATACGAGACAAGAATCATCCGTTTGACGGATCCCTTTTAACGAATCCGTGTTTTATAAGATATTGAATAGGGTTAAAAGACTGCTTGATGTTGACACACACAAAAGAATGCTGAGGATAGCGGAGTTTATGTGGCCATTAGCCATAGATTTAAGCAGGAACGCTCCGGCCATGAGAAAAAAATAGGAACGTTAAGCGTACATGTATCTGCTCATGGTGATTACACTGTTGCCAAGGGCTTCAATCAACACCCAGTAGCTTGTAAAAAATTTTAAGGGACTGATGTTTAACAGTTGAACAGTTAAATAAAGTTAGATTTATAGTATGTCAGATGAAAGAAAAATAAAATGGCTGATATATATTGAACTTGCAGAAACTAATTCCGGCCATAACTTCACAAAGATGATATTCAATTTTATGATGTTCTTTGTTGAATCATCTTAGTTTTATAATTTTCTTGCAGGGATGGGTCCAGCATGATCTGATAGGGGGGGGGGGGGGCTGTGCCCGCTCTGGTGCCGAGTTGTGTCGGTCATGTGTGCCGCCCGCCCATCACCTTGCCTCGCTATTGCAAAGTCTTGCTTGACCACAGTATTTGAATTGTAATTGTTGTTCACAGTTCGCCTATCATCATATTATTACTCAAATTTCTGTATCTTATTCTGTCTCTAATAATTTTTGCTTATTATGAAAAATACAACAGGGGGGGGCGGTGCACACCCCTGCATCCCCCAAGTAAACCCATCCCTGTGTTCTTGTTAAAACATTTCGGGTTCCAAATCTTCTTGATAGTTCATAATAAACTTTAGCAGGCATGCGAGAACGTTGTAGATGCATAGAAGTTGTCAGGATAACAGGTGGTGCCAGTATATATTTGCAGAGTTTTGACAGCCTTTTTATACCATCATTGATACATAACATCAACATTTCTGCAGTTTATAATTGATCTATTTCATTTTAGAAAATGTTATAGCCAGGGTTCATGGTACATAAATCAACTGTTTATGCCTAGTAAATATATAAAATAAGTCATATATTGAAAGTCATATCATCAGCAACAAATGATGACAAGTATGGAAATTAGAAGTATAATCGATGCATATAGTTCTAGAATAGAATGATATAATTCAGCAAACCAGATCCATACAATAATATTTTGTCGTGGAAGAAAATCCACTAAACAGAATATTATGTTAGTTTTGTACATTTTGTGCTATAAATAAGATCCCATTATGACATATGGTTGTTGTTGATTATATTATAAGACAATATTGTATAGGATAGGTGAAGGGGGATATAAATTGCTTGCCTGGTGTTCTTGGTAATGACATTCAGTTTCAGAAATCATGGTGGGTGAAGAAGGAAGCACCCCCCTCCAGGATATATAGTTATTATGCTGCAAGTTGATAATTATGACTGGTTGCAACTGTTACTATAAGTAGTTATATTCCAATCTAAAACTGAATCTCTGTTCTTTTTGCAGCCACGATTACTTTGGCTTTTCTTAAATGAAAGCAATTATTCAATGCACATACTGCTATAAAGTGCTTTAAGAGAAATGTTTTCAATATGTGTGACTTAGCTTCTGACTCTGCTAAATTTGTATAAAAATGATCTATCAAAGTCTGTAATGAAAGCAGACACCAATTGTCTATAGTTATGATCATTGATAAAGAAATTATGTAACCTTACTAAATTATATAGCCTTCTATTGGTTTCATTCAACTAATTTATATTAACTAAAGTCACCAATGAAAATGTTAAATTGAAAAGTACATAAACATCAATACTTACAACTCGATATACACCTACAACGGCAACATGTGGAAGCATAATCATTACTTTCATAGTTTCATAATAGTATTCTCAATGCCATTAGTCAATAATTCTCTTGTCAAAAATTGCGAATCATTTTGTTTCCACTGCGTATTAAATGATGAAATCCTTCAAATGCTTGCCAAAAATGCACCATCGACATTTGCCATATTCAGACTAGTAAAATGACGTTGTTTTAAACTGCGTTTGATGTATAATTTAAATCGTAAATTCACAAATTGCCTTTTGTTTCACCCTTCAGTAAACCGCCATTTTGAAATTTGTATCATTACGTCATTTCATCTATACGCTGTCGTTGATTGGCTATGAGCACGCTTACAAACTTCCGGTACGCGCACGATGGCAATATATCTGCTTCGCAGATACAAAAATGTTTTGCCTTGGTCTATATTTTACTACAATAATAATATACATAAAGATATTACTAGACTGTGATTGGTTGATTTCAGTGCAGTTAATCCCAAACAGCAGTGCAATTCTCTGTAATCAAGTACAATTTTCTGTAATCACAGGCATATAGTAAAACGCGGACTGGACTGGTAAAACGCGGACTGGACTCAGATTAGTAAAACGCGGACTGGACTTTATTAGTAAAACACGGACTGGACTCTATTAGTAAAACGCGGACTGGACTCTATTAGTAAAACGCGGACTGGACTCTATTAGTAAAACGCGGACTGGACTCTATTAGTAAAACGCT